ACCTTACTCAGAAACAGTATACGGTACTAGAGGAGGATTCGTTGATTCGGTGAATGTTGTCGGAGTGACTAAGATGTAAAATTTGTAGAAATGTTCTCGATGCACTCGGACGGTTATAAGGAACATCAAGACATCAAATTTCAGTTCTAGTGAACAGGTTTGGGAAAAGACGTGTATATAAACGTCTATACGAGTAACACCTGTTAGAAAAGGAGAGTAGGCTTAGTCAGGAGTGGATGGTTGGTCGAGATTATCAACATTTACTGGAATTTTAATTTCATAGGGATTAAGAGTGCTAGATTGTGCAAGTTTGCTGAGGGACATTAATTCTCGTAATGTTGACTTTTGGACTTCGCATCAGTTCTATATTGCACTGATAACGGAGGTATAGTTGTGGTTCATATCTCGACGGAAGTTTGAATCGAGAGTGTACATTTGATCAGTTGATTTGGAATGTTTTCCATATCGGGAGCAAGGTGTGTTGTCGGGGAAGTTGTTATGTATTCAATTGTTTTCATGGATAGTGTTCCTAAAACACTAGGATGGATGCATAGATGTTTTGCAAATCTATGCTATGGAATTTGGAGGAATGTGGATCTTTCCCCTGTACAAACAAATTTGGGTAAGAGTGAGTAGTTGTTAAATCCAACTTATATGTTGAATAATTTTTATGTTTTCTTTTACATCGGACTAATAAATTGTTCCTGAAAGTTTTGGAATTCAGTGGAGCTCATACTTAAAGGCAGCATCCACAATGGAACGTTAATGAATTTTAATGAAAATAATTCAAGGTTTCGTGAATTCCAAGGACAGAATTCCGTTTGTTAGAGGGGGAGAATGTAATACCCCTAAAATTAAAAAGGATATAATTGGGATTTTACTATTTATTTTAAGTGTTTTATGTGTTTATGTGGATATGTGTTTAGGTTTAATTGATTAAATTATTTGTTCGTTCTTTATTTGATTTAATTGTATAGTCTTTAATTGATTTAATTGTCATTTAAGTTGTTTTTGAATTATTTTGTTGGTTAATTATTTTATGTAATTTAATTATGGTTTTAATTAATTGGTTAATTGGTTTTTTTATTTTATTTAGTTAAATAGGTTAAATTATTAGGGTTTTGTCTCTTTACCGTCACGTTTGAATAAAGCCGCCTTGTTTAATTAAGCCACCTTGGAGATGTAAGGAATTGTTGATTTATGTCTCTACGATTAAAGTAGAATTAGGGCTAATATCTTTTCCTAAGCTTATAAATAAAACAATAAGGGTCTACTTAGGGTTGTAAGCACAAACCTTATTCATGAATTGTGAAAATACAGAGAGTGAAACAGAGAGTTTAAAGGAAAAACTGAAGGAGAGGAAGGTAGGGTTTGAGTTAAGGATTATAAGCCGGACTAAGGAGGAAGCTTGAGGGATGTTTGAGGGTTAGAACCGGAGCAGATGAATCCTTGACAGCGATCATGATCGCCGAAAATTCTAGGAAGAGGACGACGTTGAAAGGTTTCAAACCGAAACCGAAAGGCAAGTTCTTTTCTTCCTCTTTCCCTTTGACTTGTGTTCTGTGCACCTAGATAGTCTCTAGGGTTTAATTAATTAGGAACTGGAATTTACATGGTTAATATATGCTATATTGATGGTCTGTTTGTTGTTGAAATTAAATCTGTTACAATTCGTGCAAGTCTGTTTTTGTTTTGTTTTCTTAAAGCATGTAAATTCTGTTGGAATTTTAGTTACTGTATTTTCTTTCAATAACTGTAAACGAATGATTGGAATTTTAGATAAGACTCCTAAGTGCAGTAGTGAAGAGGAACATAAAGGATTGGAATGGAACTGATATTGCAAAATAGTTTCAGCTTTTTTTTTTTTTTTTTTTTTTTTTATGACTCAGGAACTCCCCCACGCAGGGCCCCTTAGGGACTCACCGTAGGTACAAACCTGGGGGGGTGGAGCCCTGCCCAAGGACACCTCCGGGTGAGTCCGGGAACGCAGAGGCTAGGAGTTGACCTCGGGCCTCTTCTGTGAAAACCCAAGCTCTAACCATCACTACTACGCCCCCGGGGGCTAAAATAGTTTCAGTTTTGTTCCTAAAGCATGTTTTGTTTCGGTAACAAATTTAGTTTTAATTTGATTTCAACTTCTGTAAATGAATCATGGGAATGTTACTAGGGTGTTATAAGACTCTTAAGATGAGTTTTAGAAATCAACAGAGTGGTAGGAATGGTCCAGAGACAGAGCAAACGGACTGAAATGAAGCAGAAACGGACTGAAGCTCTCAAAGGGAGAGGAATTCGGCTTTCCCATGAGTAGAGCCAGCTCTAGAAAGAGTAGAGCAGGCTCTACCTCAACAAGAGCAGGCTCTAAACTCCTCTGAGCCAGCTCTAGGCTGATTAGAGCCTGCTCTAATTTTCCAAGAGCAGGCTCTACCCAATTTGATGCGTACTGTGACTTTTTAAGCTACTTTTTGGGCACTTGGGGTTTCTAAACAGTTTTAAAACTTTAATGGGGTTTTCAAAACATTATTTTAACATGCAATCAAGGTCTTGAATTGCATAAAATACCCCTTTGTTTTAATAGAATTAAAAGTGAGCTAATTAACAATTTTGCCTACGGTTAACGGCTGGAAGGAAATAAATTGTCTAATTTTAATTTGACAATTTAAGGTGCTATAACATGATTCTAAATTAAATTTTAGATGCATTAGGGAGTCTTTTAATAAAAAAATTGGACTCATAGCATAGTTTATGGCTCGGTACAAGAACAATAAAACAGTATACAAGTTTGCAACCTAGCTTGCTTTTGACAGATAAAAGGAACTGAATTGCTAGAAGTAATTTAGAATTAATTTTAGCAAATTCTTAGACAATATTATGATTTTAAAACTTTCTAAATTGCATGATAGAGTTGTTGATTTACTAAAACTGATCTATTCATGCTCTGGATGCTAGTTGATAAACTGTTAAACAATACATGGGTTAACTCTTGGATTTAAATTGCTGAAACTTTAAATACGTATCTGCAATTATTTGGATTTTGGTTTTGGATTGTAAATTGCTAAACTGTTATGTATTAGTTGTAATTTACATGGTTTTAGATTTAAATTGCTGAAACTTTAAATACGTTTCTGCAATTATTTGGATTTTGGTTTGGATTTTGCTAAACTGTTATGTATCGGTTATAATTTACATGGTTTTGGATTTAAATTGTTGAAATACTAAATACTCTTCTACAATTATTTGGAATGGTTTTGGACTATAAATTGCTCAACTATTATGTAATTGTTGTAATTTACACGAATATGGAGGATTGTATGCACTGGTATGGGACGGTAGCATACTAGGTTTGGATTAACACTAGTTGCTAAAATCCTACCTATTTTGGAATAAGGGTACTGGTTGTTAAATAAAATCCTCCTTATATATATGGGTCGGTGCGGTTGAATACGCCGAACGACTTACTGGATTTCTTATGGATGAATGTGAACGGATTTTATATATATTGTTATGGTACCGTGACACGAGCTTGAGTCTCATAGTCGACGGTTAAGGAGCATATATGCAGTAGGATGCGTAGCTAGCTATGTTGGTTGAGGTATACCCTATTAGGCTTAGATAGTCATGCCCACTCAGGTGCGTTTTGCATGTTACCTTCTATTCAGGTTGAGACCCTCAGCATAGTCTAGTGAGAGTCCTATAGTATGGTTATATATTTATCTATTATGGACTATATAGATATTGTTGGGATATCTAGGGTGTATCTGCGTATCGGGTCACTGTATGGATAACAGTTAGAATAGAATTTGCATGTGGGCTTGACCCACTCTTATTTTTACAGGAGTTCGACGGTTCCAGCTTAGAGCTTGATCGTGCTGAGTAGATACAGTTATTCACTCCACCGACGATGTAGGATTTATTTCTATGTTTTAAACTTGGGTTTCTTCCCAGCGATGTAAATTTCAATTGGAATTTTTAGGGCTCCACTAGATGGATTCCCGAATTGTATTAGAAATGGAGAATTTGGATGTATCAGAATAATTCTTTATTAATAAAATTTTATTCTGATGTTTTTGGATTATCATTCTAGTTTCTTTTCAGCAATTTATTTATTCTTATTTTCTTAATTGTATTATGTGTTCGTTAACTGCTAATTAATTTGATATCCTCGGGTAATCGGGCGTGGGCCTAACTAACCCGCATCCGGAGATCCGGGGGTATCACACTAGACGTGTGGTACATATTTATAGACAACAATACCTAAGTCCAACTAAACCCTAAACCTAAACATAATCGGCCCAAAACAAAACCTATTTTTTTTTACACACGCTATGTCTTGCTACCAATTTAAATAAAACAAAATTAATTAATTAAATAACAACCAATTTAATAACACAAAATTAATTAATTAAATAATATAATCAATTCAACAGATTAACCACCAAAGAAATTAAAACAGTTAAATACAAGATTAAACAGGTAAAGCAAATCAACTAAGAAAACAATTAAATAATTAAGCAAATACGCAATTAATCACACAAAAATAAAATAACTCAATAAATAAAATACCGAGACTTCTTTTAAAATTAGGGGTATTACAAAAAGTAGGTTCTAGACTTAAAAAAGGATAGGTTCATTTTTTTTAAAAAAAAAATTATGAAGATAGAAACATAACCATAGCAATGGTCTAATCAGTTCTTAATTACGTGAATAAAAGGTCTTTGCCGTTTCAAGGTTTCAAGCCAATTTGTGGTATCAAAATGTAGGTTCTAGACTTAAAAAAGAATAGGATTTTTTTTTTTTTTTTTTTTGATAGATAATAAATTATACCAAATTTGACACAACTTACCAAAAGAAAAAAGATCTAATTTTAAATGGATTAGTTTCATACATCCAATGAAAATAGTAAATATACATCGAGGCAGTGACCCCCCTTCAGCAACAGCTCAGATTCTTCTCTTGTACCTCCCTAGCTTTACAATTGTATATAGATCAATTTGAACATGGACATAGTATACTCACAACCAAATACTTTGCAACTAAGAATCAAAATGATGTTGCATGCAACTCTCTTTGAGCTAAGGGAAGCAGCCAATACAATCTTAACTGTAGTTGGAAAACATTTCAAAATTGAGTATAATTGTATTTATTGCTTAAATTGACACTGTAAAATGTAAATACAGATGTTGCATATGGCCATGTGTTGAAAAGTGAGCTAAAAATACTAGTTATACTCTTTCATTGAACTCAAAAACCAAGCAAACTGGCTACTACTTTCTCTGTCTACTACTACCACTACTGTTGCCACTACTAGAGACTCTCGATCCCTCGGAGACGGAAGAATTTACATCTGCTAAAATTTGGACTTCCAATTTATGGCCTTTCAAAGCTGCCCTAACCTTTCTCACCACTTGTTGCTTCATAACCTTGCGCTCTGCTGTATAGAGATGTTTACACTTATCTATCCCCCTGAGGAACCCCACCACGCTTTCACCGGAGCCTCCACCACCCTTTTCAATCCTCACGAGCTTCTCCACCACTTGCAAGGAAAAGATCCTCTCTAAGCAGGCTTTGTTTCCCAACTCCACAATATCTAAAACACAACGCATGGTTACTTCTCGTGTCTTCACCGATTTGCTTTCAAACGAATGGACCAACCTCTCCATGAGCCCCATTTGGAGGATTCTGTTCAGAATGAGGAACCCACCGTTGCCAAAAAGCATCTGATTCAGTGCCATATAGGCTGAATCCTGCAACTCTGGAACATTGCATTGCATCATTTTAATCAGATCAGGAATGATGTCATACTCCAGAAATTTTTATACATGATTCTCCCCCAGAGCAAGCCAACTTCATTAGTGCAAAGGCAGAAGCAAATCTCAATGAGTTCTGTTCTGGCTGCCCAATTTGCAGGAGTTCAGATAGTCTTTTGACAATGGGACTGCGAAGGATCATGTCTCTAACTTCTGAGTCTCCTGCTTTCTCAATGATTGGTATAATGTCTTGCATTGCCTCCAATACCCGTTTGTGATCACTGTCGAGCATCTTGTGAATGAGATCTTCAAAATTTAGTGGTTTTGGTGAAAGGGGTACATTTCGTTCCGACATAGCAATTTGTTCCAAACTGAGTCTTACTTGCCAAGGCAAGAGGTTTAGAGTACGAGGTTTAAGGGACCCATTTGCAGGAAGATCTCCAAGCTCATGAAATGCCTTCAATGTGACAATAGCAAGGTGTTGTGCAACCTCAGATCCAACCTCAAGAAGTTTTATTAGACTTCTGTCGATCTCAAAAGAAAGCATTCTGTCAACAGCTTTTGATTTGCCGGCTTTTGTTAATGACATCAATATAGAAAATATGCTCTCATGGCATTCCTCAGCATTAGGATGGAGCAAATCCACCAACCGGTTCATGGGAATGCTCTGAAGCACCTTATCAACTGTGTCAGGGGTTCCAAATTCTGCTAGCTTTGCAAGGACATTTAAAATGTTGGTTTGGATCATGGGGTCCTCACAGTTTTCTAATATCCGAGCAAGCTTAGCAACTGCATCGATAGTCTCAAGGGATGGGAAATAATTAGTGTAATCACTCTTACTGAATATACTGGTGATGGCTTTTGCAGACACTGCTATCAGATCCTGTGAGTCTGTTGACATCAGATTTGAAATCCTCGGTCCCAATATGCCACTAAAGCTTGCTCCGCTAGCTTCAAGTTCAGATATGGATATGCTAGCCATAAAAGCTTGGATAATTGCTTCCAAGGTGATAAACGTCTGTTTTTCTTCTAAAACACTCAGAAGAATCTCTATCCTTGGCCCAGCGACTTCTTAAATTGTTTCCTTCCCAAAAATTAAAAGCCAAGGGCTGATATATGGAGTTCCTTCAGGCATAGAATCACTCAGCAGAATCTCAATGGAATCATTCACCTTGCTATCAAGGTACAGAGTGACCATATCATGTGCTTGGTACAAGGGATAAGAATCAGTTTTCATTAGTAAGGAACCTTCAACAAGCTTGCAGACTACAATAGGAAATAAGCTCTCCTGCCCAAGAACCGACCAAATGGCCTCTAGGCAAGCTTCTGGCACGGGCTCAACCCATGAAAGAGCGGCAAGAGCAATAAAAAGACTTACTGGAGTCTTCAGGCATTGCTTCTAGACTGAACTCAAATGATCCAAAAATGGTAACTGTGTTCTCGGCTTCTTTCTCATTTGCATATGAGACCAGACCTGGTGCACACGCGGCAAATGTGGATATGTTGGTTATAGCCTTTTCCCATTTATCCGTTCTTGTTTCTTTCCTGAGAGCCTTACCCATTACAGCAACTGTAAGAGGATGATGACCACAACATTCAAGTAAACACTCTGCCACAAAATCTTAGCAAATCACGATGGAAATCCTTAGAGAAAAAATTGCAAAATAATAAAGAAAATGAGCACATATAGGGATAATAGACAGTCAAGAACTAGAAATAGGTTTCAGGTAAGCCAGACTTGACTATGATAGTCAGTTTGTATGATCAAGAAGTTAAGGTTTGACTCTGTGATGAACTTTGGTTACAAAGGAGTAGAACTGACCACACAGGTTAACAATAAGATGTATAACAGTATTATCTTATCATGTGGTCCTGCAAGAGCTTTGAAGGTCAACTCGGCCTTATATCCAAAGATTATGGCAATAACATTTCACATATTCAATACTACAGGGATACTTGAAAGAGTTCATGAAAATTGGATCAGTCCATAGTATTTTACATGACATTTTGAACACACAAGTTTGTGATGTAACATGACATCAATAGTTACTAGATAATACAAAAATAATTGCATTTATTTGCTAAAGTAATTGTCAAGACACAAATTGAACCCAATCCACATATATGGCTACTAGTAAGGAAAAGAGTTAACAAAGACAATAAATTAAATATGACGGAAAAAAAAAGGTGGATTGATTCTGACCAAATCTCTATCTTCTCATGGTCCTGTAAAGCCGCATGAATTTTATCATGACTATAACCTCATAAAAGTTGTTTCTCTGTCCATCATTTGACAAAGGCTGAACTTGGCAGTGGAAGAAAATGAAAGAATGAATGCAATAGCGTACGCCCTTCTGATTGATTTGTAATGAATGATTGGACGCACAATTACCATTGCATTAGAATTCATATTTATAAATCTCTAGAAGGACTCAGAATGTAGGTTTTGTTTATCTTTCTTCTATTTGGGATTATGTATGCCTTTAAACAAGAATTAGTTTAATGTTCTATGGCTTCTCAATGAATATGGATGCAGAAATGTGTTTGTTCTGAGAACCTTTTGGTGTGTGAGAGCTCTGGAATAGACTAATTATAGTAATGAATAGATCCTCCAGCTCATTTTCATGGATGAAGAGAAAGTTTATCTTGTGGTGACTCCAACATGTCATTGAAAGTTCATTGAAGCTGGTGCACAGCAACTAAATCTAAATAAAAATTCTGGATGATGATTTAAGGCCAACCATAGAATCAGTGACGGAAAGTCAAAAAGACATGTTAAAAAACAAGTGGCTGACATGAGGGTAGTAGGTGGACAAGTGTTGATATGTGGAAGAGAACATCAAAGTAGCTTCAATAAGTTATAATGTAAAGAGGGCCAACTGAAGTGCTTGGCTTGTGCCCCATGCATGGATGGCCTATTATAGCACCATTAGTGAGCGCTATGGCACAAGTGGAAATAGCTAGATGGAAGAGTTAACTAGAAAGAGAATGAACGGAAACACTTGGATATCTAGAAGCTCAAAATTTAGGAAAGATATCTTCGTAGAAGTGAACTCATGTTCCAGTGCCAAGACTCATAGATGATCATGAACTAAGCAGATGGACATAAGTTTACTTATAGATGCTCGTGATCTAAGCAGATGGACATAAGTTTAGCATACATGCAGCTTATATCCATATAAAATTTTGAAGATGACGAATATAACAGAAAAATATAGCTCATACCGGAAGCTCTTCCTCGCTAAGGAGGCTATGGTAGAGAAGAACTGCCTTGCTTATTTCCCTCACATCGTCCTTGCTTAACTCTACTTTCTCAGTTTCTGTTATTTCGTAAACTGATTCATTTCTTGTTGTTACCAAGTGTCTGTAATCACTATCATACATCTTTGCAAACTGCTCAACAATGTCTTGTTCCCATACATCATCAAGAAGGATCAAAATACTCTTCCCATACAATGCTTCCTGAAGCAGGCAGCAAACATATTCAAGATCTCCACTGTTATCTTTCATCTTCTTCCAATATCCAATTTGTACAAAAAATCTACAAATTTTTCTTGCCAAGCCCTTTTGGTATTCAGCTTTACTACCATTACAAGCAGCCTTACTGCACCATTGCCCAAATCCAAGTTCAACTGCTCCATCCACAAACTTTGTTGGAGGATTGGAAGCCACTTGACGAGCCAAACATGACTTTCCAATACCAGATAAGCCAACTATTAGAATGACCTTATGGGAATCCTCTTTCTCTAGTAAACTACTCACAAATTTGCACTTACTAGAAATTGGGTACCCTTGATCCGTGTTTATTTTCAGTCAAACCTGGATGTTTCTCGCAGTTGATTCCATTGCATTCTCAACTTGTTCAGTCAATCTTTGAGATTCAAGCCACCAGTTCAAGTCATCTCTAATTGTCTTCACTATCTTCCCAAGTGGATCCCCCTGCTAAAGAACTCCACACAACCTTAGCCAATTTCTTAATTTTACTCCTTGACACGATCCTTCTTGCCTTCTAGATGTTTGGATGCAGCTGTTCTATAAGGCCATTTAAGCTTTGAATTTGGTGGTCTAGTTGGGGGTTATGTAGCTTGTACATATGTTTATGCTTAATACGGTGTGTCAAATTCTCAAGATCACATACAAATTCCTCTATGCTTTGTATTCTCTTTGGAGCCTCATCGAGATTTCTAGAGGCCTGCTCCAGTGCACCAACAACTCCTACCATACTCGAGACTATCTGTGTTGCAGAAGCAATAACTTACAATGCATCCATTTGAATCCAAAAAAAATACACCCACAACTAGTTTCTTTAAATCTTCTTCAATCAAATAATTGTACTCACAACATTAGACCAAGTAGCCACAAGAAGCTACAATCAAATAATTGCATAATTTATCCCACGGCAGGCCTTCAAAGTGGCAACAATAAAAATCCAATTTCTCCAAGAATGAAAGGAAAATATGGAAACATAGCTTCAAGAAGTTTCTTCACAAAATCTCAAACATCAATTTTTGAGAAATATCAGAAACCCCCATTAATAAGATTTAAAAACCCAACTTGATAAAAGTCAGGAACTGCAAAAACCAGAATCCCCATTAGTGGCCCTATTAAGCTCTTGGATCCGGTTCAAAGATCATACTCAGATTTCCAAATATCTATAGAACTTCATCTTTCAACAGTGTGAGATTAATTGAATCAATCAAGTTTACTATTAGATTACAACCAAACTCCAATTTATTCTTATACCCAATTAACTCACATGAACTAACTGACCATCCAAACAACATAAACCCATCAAAACCCATAATTTTCTTTAATACAATCTCAATAAGAATAACCCAGTTGTCAAATGCTCTCAGAAGCACAATCATTCAAATTTAACAGCGCAAAAAAAAAGTTTTCAGTGTTCTTACCTTAAGAGGATGTAAATATGACTTTCATGGAAGTCCCACACTGAAAATGGCAACTTTTACCATAAATTAGCATCTATTCCATGGAACAAAGCTTTTTGACATTGAAACCAAAAAAAAGAGAAGGAATGATTGAGGACTCACCAGTCAACTTACAAGTGCAAATCATACTGTATACATGTTGAGGACTCGGTTATGTCACAGTCCAATAAAATATAATTTCTTGGCTCTGTTCTAGTGATTCAATTATAACTTTGTCCAATCAGTGACCGGCCGTGGTCACTGTGCAGAGAATACACTCGTGTGTTACAACTGTAAAAAGTCAAATGGGCACCTATTGTTTGAATATATTTTTTAAAATTTTCTTTTTACCAAATATATATATTTTTAAATTATTTCTCCAGCATTGACAGATTTATATCCTAAGTCATACCATCTTTCTCAACCAACGGGTGAGAACAGTTCCAAAAGCGCTTTCGTTTTCATGATCCGCACATGTTCTGGCTCAAATTCTCACTATTTACGACTTAATTCACTATTTATGACTTAATTCTGCTGCTCTCACGCTCCCATTCTCGAATTTGATTCACACCTGTATCAATAGAGATATTTTCTGAACGCAATTTTATATGATATATATTTTACAAACTATATAACCCTAACTCACACCGCATCTAGTTCGCAACTCAATTACCATGCAACACAATTACCTCATGATGTAACATAACATATTACACATCAAGTCATGTAACACCATTATTTGCACCAAGGTGATCCTTTGTCCCCATATCTTTTTATAATTTGTGCTGAAACTCTTTCCCTTACTATTTTGCGTGCGCAGCAAGCCAGGCTGTTATCCGGCCTTCAAATTTGCCGGGAAGCTCCTTCTATTTCTCACCTCTTTTTTGCAGATGACTTAGTTGTGTTTTATGCTGCGGTGGAACTAGGGGTTTGGGTTTTGAAACGTATTTTGGCTGATTATGAGTATGCATTTGGCAGCAAGTGAATTTTAGTAAATCGTCTATATTTTTCTCAAAGAATGTTGCTGGTTCAATGTGCCATTTTATTAGTCACTGTTTGGGTTTGCAATTGACTGGCTAGAATAATAGGTATTTGGGTGTGCCGACTCTTTTGGGGCGATCTAAACGGGATGTTTTTCAGTTCCTACTTTCTAAACTGCAGGACCGTTTGTCTTTCTGGAAATGTAAATCTTTGTCGGCAGGCGGTAATGAAGTACTTATTAAGGCGGTGTTGAGTGCTTTGCCGACGTATGTGATGTCTTTCTTTCAACTGCCTCGCACATTATGCTTGAATTTGATGAAACATATTCGTGCATTTTGGTGGTGCAATAAGGATAAAAATCGAGCTATCCATTGGGTGCATTGGGACCTATTATGTAGGGGTAAGAAGAGTGGTGGTCTTGGTATTCGGAACATGGATGTGACGGCCCAAGTTTTTGTAAACCCGGTGCGTTAGTGATGACCAAAAGATGACCCGATAATGGATCCAAAATACAGAAGTGAAATGTGCAAAATGACCTTTATAGATGTTCATCATCCCTAAGGCACCCAAAATGACTTCCTATGAAGCCATGGATCTCAGATAAGCCAAGCAAATGAAGCAAGAATGCCAAACCCGAAAAGAATGAACCAAGGGTAAAAATGGTCATTTCAAACTGAAATGGATGCCACCTTGCATACCATTGGAAAGATAATAAAAAATGAATGACGTCGGACTCAAGAATCACCTGATTCGGAGTCCGAACGGAAATGTTATGAAAAGAACAAAACAACATTCTCCATTTAAGAGATACCATGAACCTATCTCACTAAAACAGTAATAACTCTCACTATAAGTGGAGTTTTGAAGTTTGGTTAGAACCATTGGAAAGTTAACTTCAAGCTCTTTAATTTAGGCTCAAGAACGACCCAATTTGGATTAAGAATGAAGAAATTATGACCATCTGAAGTGGATACAAGGAAACTGTCCAAGCAAAAAGAAGTGAGATGGTCCCAGGGAGGATCGGTGGACCGAAATGCAACCATCAGTCGGCCGAAACTCAACCGTCAGTCGGCCAAACCCCAATTATCAGCCTGCCGAAATGATGAAAACCCTAAAATGGCTACTAGAATGCTCCTCAAGCATGTAAAAGCCGGCTGATGGACTTCATCAGCCGATCGACGCCTCTACTGCTGCAATTTAAAAGCTGCTACAGAGAATGAAAAGCTCACCCCGATCCAACCTTGATGCATGTATGTGTCCCAATTGATTAAAAATGAGTTTGAAAACGTTTTACAGCTTCATTCCAGTATAAACAACATGCCAAAACTTACTCCTATGCATGAATTTTTCATAAAAATCCATAATTCATCCATAAATAATTCAAAAGTTGAAACTTAAGAGTTTTATGAAATGTAAGCATGCCCGCAAACGTAAAATGATGTTTTAGATGCGTGACAATGGCCTACGGCCCCATTTCAATCCATTTACAAAATTTGACCTTTCAACCCCCATTTTCATAAAATAGGCAATTAAGGCAAAACACAAGCTTTTAAAGCACACATGCAACTTGAAATTTAATGGCCATTGGCCTCATGTTTTATATACCAAATAAGCTCCAAAAGTATGCTTAGATACACATTACATGTCAAAGAAGCCATCTTAACTTACAAAATACCATACATCCATGGTATACAAAATATATAACATCCAAAAGTAAGCATGCTAAACAAGTGCATGTCCATAAGCAAAAATGTTCCAAAGTGCTCATAAGCCTCTAAGGATGATGAGCATCCGAGAACATTGTCTCCTTACCTGTAAAATAACCCACAAAACTAGGGTGAGTAATCAAGTTACTCGTAGGAAGAAGCATATGCGTATACCCTAAAGTTTCAATGTCATTGCAAGATCAATATAGACGAATATAAGGAAGCATTCACTTAATGTCTATATTCAAGGTGTTTTAAGGAATCATCTTAAGCTAACTTAATGATTATATGACAATGCAATAACCATACCAATGTACTTAACAACATTAATTCGCAATTAACCAAAATCACAAGTCACAATTAAACATTGGTTGTCAACTTGTAAATAAATGCGAAATCAAATAGTGAAAGACTTGGATATCACGTCTCGGAATGAACCAAGATCAAAACGGTTATTCAGGGCATTAACCCGCTGGGAAGACCACCCTAGTGTGCACTATCTCAATTGGGGAGAACTCATACCTCCCGCACTAGAGCCAAACTCTAGCCATGTCACTTGTAACAATGTCCCAAGAGAATCCAAAATATATCAAGGTCAAAACTTATATACAATAATTTAAGGCATATATACCACCTTCCATGCACAAGTATTTTGAAACCACACAAAACATGTCTTAAGGCTCCAAGTCTAGAATGGCATAATAAATGACAAGTATTCCTCATGATATAATGTATAAAACAATATCACCAACTTATCTATTTAAATCATGCCTCAACAATAAGCTTTATATACTAATGCTTAACAATTTAGCAATAAGTTTTTTTTTTAAAAATCACAATAAGTCCTCAACAAGAACATAGAATTATCACTACAATAATATAACAATTCAAGTCAATAGAAATTGTATAAGGCATCAATAATTCTATAAGAGTTTTATATTATTACCACATGTGAAAATATTAGAATTTAGCACACTACTAAATCATATAATCTTTCTACACATGGTATATACATATTATACATGCTTAATCAATAAACCCTAAGTCAAAAAGTGAGGGTTTCTCATAATATGCAAGACTTGAAGTATAAATATACTGTGATGACTTGAATTTGTGAAATTTTAATTTAATTATTTTATGAATTTTAGACTGTTTAAATTAATTATTTATTTATTAAAATTAGTGGGTTTTTAATTTTGATTTGTTATATATATATATATCATTTGGAAAGCTTTTGGGCAACTTTTGACTTTGGTTCTTTTTACACGTGGGTTTGTTGGAGGAAAGGTGAGAGAATGGGTCTTTCATTTGGTTTATTTTATATATATTGTATATATATTTTGTGTTCTAGATAAGTAGGTGATGGGTGGCAAAAGGAAAAAGAAAAAGGTGGACTGGCCAAAATAAAAAGAAAATTGAAATATGGCAATTGTAATGATTTTGGTGGAGCCCATAAGGATTTATTTTACCAAAAATCAATGATGTTCACATGGGTTTGGTTTGATGGAGTGAGATTGTATTAGAATGGAAATGATGTTCACGTGGGTTTGATCAGGCGTATTGGAATGAGATTTTTTTTGTACGGTGAGATATATTGTGTCGGTGGAAAAGTCTTTAAAAGCTAAGTATGTGTGTGTTTTCAGTTTGTGTGAATAACAGGAGAGAAATTAGATAGAGAGCTGAGACAGAGAGTTGAGAGAGAGAAAAATAGAGTGATGACAAATAAGCCCCTAGGGGCAATTGGGCGTGCGCATGGGGCTGTCGTGGCCTCTCGTCGGGCCGCCGCGACGTCAATTCTTCTTTTGGGCTTTTCTCCTTCGTCCGGACTCCGATTCAAGTGAATTTTTTTTTGAACTTGACTAATTTTTCACTGTCTTTCCAACGCTGTACTCGGTTGCACCCAGTTCTTCCTGGATAATTACCAGTTTACCCTTTTTACCTTAAGTGCTCGTTTTTCTTCGTCATGCCGTTTCTTCTTCATCCGGACTCCGAATCATGCGATTCTTGAGTCCATCTTGATTAGTTTTTCGTTGTCCTTCTAGCAGTATGCTCGGTGGCACCTGAATCTACAATTTTTAGAAATGACTATTTTGCCCCTGGGGGCTTATTTGTCATATTTTCGATCTTTTTTTTCCTCATCAGTTCTTGTTGAGTTCCACGACCTCATGGAAGGTCACTTTGACTTCTTAGAGTCTTGTTTTCTGTTTTCGCTTCCGCATTCGGATCCGTTGTCGGATCATCCTTACAATTCATCACAGGACACGCTGGTCTAAAAACCAGGGTCGTCACAAATGCATATTTATTTTGTTATACTCACCTGTATATGTTTATGTTGTGAAGCTGTTTTGTTAAACCTCCATGAAATTCTTGTTATGGTTTTTCCTACTGGGACTTTCAGTCTCATCACCCTTCAGTTTCAGGTACCGAAGATAGACGGGGATCGTAGATTCGGGCTTAGGCTGAAGAGTTGGCGTGAAGGATTTATTTTATTTATTTTGGAGATTTTTTTGTATATTTGAGGAAATTGACTTTGTATAAAAGACGGTATTATTTTTGGGATCCTGGGTGTATTTTGATGTATTTGTATTTGAATAAATTGATGATTTTATTGGAAAATTCGGGGCGTGACACATACTACCACCCCTACCTCAATAGAGAATTGAATCTCTATAATCCCAAGCAACTAAGCTCAAAAATGGAAAACAAAACAAGGGTTTTGAAGAAGAGAGTGAGAGGAAACTTTTGTCTCCCAAGGTTAATGGTCAAATGTGAATGGAAGGAAACCAAAATGAAGAGATAAGCTATTAACCAAGCTTTCCTCCAATGGTGGCTAGGTTAGGGTTTTGAAGAAGAAAATGAGAAAGGTAAAGTGAAAATGGTGAGTGGAGGATCTAGTATTCCTCCACTCACTATGTGTTCTTACATTACCTGACTCACACACACAATGCAAGACACAATTGTGAGCCTACACTTGTCACAATCCCATGGCTCCTTCCTAGGCTTAATCTTAAGTCTACACTTGTCAACCATCTAAGCCAACAAGTGCACCTATCCTAGGCCAACAAGTGGATGAATCTCCACCCTTTAAATGTCACAAGATGATGCTACTAAGTCTCCCCACCCAAATGCCAACAAGTGACTCTATGAGAATATGACACTTGTCATATTTTTCAAAAATTGCAAAAAGATCATTTTTTCAAAATATCTTACAAATAAAATTGCAAGATGGTCTATAAGATAAAAAATAATTATTTTACATAATTACACTAAAACCCCAAAATAAAAAAATAATTACGATAAAGTATGCATCCATGCCCTTTTACGAAAAAGTAAGCAACTAACATGTATTTTCTACAAAAGTAAAAATACAAATGTCATGGAAATCAAATATCGTGGATGCATGCAAAACTGAAATCAAATTCGAGCACAAAAAGTGAGGTTTTGCAAAGAAAATGATAAACGGGAAAAAGACAAAATAGGGAAAAGGACGAAAAAAGAAATCACTGAAAAAAAAAAGAAAGGAAGGAAAATGACCAGGTCATTACACTAGAGGCATTTAATTTGGTGCTTTTAGCAAAACATGCTTGGCATTTTCAGGTTCAGTAGACGAGCCTGCTGTTTTAGTTATTGAGGCTAAGTATTTTCCTTCCTCCTCTTTTTTGGATGCGCCGCTAGGCTATAATCCTTCCTGGGGGTGGCGAAGCATTTGATCTTCTCAACCTTTATTGCGTTGTGGATTGAGATCCTTGATTGGGAATGGTCTTTCTACTCGTATTTGGGAAAATCATTGGGTTCTTGCGCTTTCTCAAAAAATTCCACCTCTGACATGTTCTATTCCATTTTTTTGGGTGGTGGATTTAATTTATTCTTTTACCCGTACTTGGAAGGAGGATGTCTTGCGTAGTTTGTTTTCTCCTCTTGTGGTTCGCGAAATTCTAAAATTACATATCAGTCGTTGGGATAAACCGAATGTTCTAATCTGGGGACCTGAAAAGTATTTTATTTTATTTTATTTTATTTTTTTTCTGTTCGTTCTACTTATAAGCTTGCTCTCTCGATGACTAATTTTTCAGGTGTTCAGGTTTCTAATGGTTCATGGGCTTCTATATGGCGTTGTTACACCTTATTTAAGGTGCAACATTTCCTTTGGCGGTGCTACCATCACGCGCTGCCTACTGCGGTCTCCTTGATAACGAGGGGCTGTGGTGTGTCATCGTTGTGTCCTCATTGTGGTAGTCAGGAGGAGACTGTGATGCATCTTTTATTCTTATGCCCTCATTCTTTACAGGTTTGGAAGCTGTCACCTTTCCGTTTTGATTTTTTCGATTATAATATTTCTTCTTTTTGGGAAGGTTGGACTTTTTTTTTGTTTAGGCAGCTGCAGCTTCGTCTGATTCTGCGGGGATTCTTAGTTTGATTTCTTTCTGTGCTTGGGGTATTTGGAAGGCGAGGAACCACTTAGTGTTTGAAGGGGTGCTCTGGGAGCCTTACTTGGTTGTCGAGCGTGCGGTAGCAAGTTTTTGGGAATTTCAGGAAGCCAGGTCTCACTGTTCTGCTTTTCATCCTGTTTCAACCAGTCCTTTGGTGGGTTCTTGGATTGCGCCTCCGATTGCACAAGTTAAGTGTAATTTCGATGCTTCCTTTTGTAGGGGTTTGTCCTTGGGAGGGGGTGGGGCAATTTTTCGTGATTTTCGCTGCATGGTTCTTCAGGCTATTATTTTCACGCAGTTTCGTGCCTCTTCGGCTCTGTCTTTAGAGTCTCTTACTCGTCAGCGTGTGGTGTTTTGGGCTTCGAATTTGGGTTTTACTTGTGTTTGGTTTGAATCTGATGCTAAGGCTATTGTTGAGGGAGTGCTGAATGAAGCTGTGTCCCCATCTGAAATTGCTTCTCTCTGTTATGATATTCGGCGGGATTTGCAGTTGTTTTAGTCGACGTATTTGTCTCATGTTTGTCATTCTGGCAACAGGGTTGGTCATGCTTTGGCTTAGCTGTCTTCATCTTCTATCCAGATGGATCACCTTTTATCATCGATTCTTTCTTCAATTCAGCGGCTTGTTCTCGAGGATGTTGGGGGTTAGTTGTAATGGTTGGGTTGTTTTGTTTTGTTTTGGGCCTTTTGGCTCTGTTGTCAAAAAAAAAAAAAAATAGAAAAAAAAAATATAAATAAATAAATAAATAAATTATTGTTGTTGCATGATATTACAATATTGCATTTAAAAGTAGGTAGACAAAGTGTGACAGATAATCTGAGTCTTCCGGTTAAAACTCATTAACCAAACACTAAGAAAAAAATTTGAATTTTTTTTCTTAATTTAGGTTAAGTGCAAAAACCTCCCTGGCAATATATATTATATGCCAAAGAAACCCCTATTAAAAAAGAAAAAAAAAAACATATCACTCATTGTATTATCCATCTTTTAAACAAATTACCCCTTAATTATTAAATTTGATCAAATTATTTTTGAAAATTCCCAAAATGCCCTTTTATTTTGTTTTTTTTGTTTTTTTTTTTTTTCCTCTCCATCCTTTCTCTCTCTTCACTGCCTGTCCAAAACCCACCTGAACCTCAAAATTTGGGATACCAGAAAACTGCTGAAAAAAAAACGTGTCTACAGACTACACTGCTATATATACAGGGATGAAATTTTTATTTTTATTTTTATTATTATATAGCACTAATTTTTTATTTTTATTTTCAATTATATACTTATAAAATTTTTACTCTGGCCTCCAAAATTATAAAAAAAAAAAAAAAAAAAAAAAAAAAAAAAAAAACATTAAATTCACTTTTGTCTCTCCTCCCACAATTTCCTAGATCCCTCCCTATATATATATATATATATATATATATATGAATAGGATGCTGTGTAATGTGAACTATCCATTTCATGAATCTGCAAACCTTTTCTTCCACGGAATCAAACACAAGAACTGGCTGTCAAAACTCCTTGGACTGGACCAATAAATTTTTTGAACATCATCCAGCAAGCCCATTGATTTTCCCACAAGTGATTCAATTTGTTCTGTATTCTCTGTTATTGATCTAATATATATATATATATATATACATATATATGTATATACACTTTGCATCATGTTCCAACTTACAGATATGAGATATCCATGGTTTCTTTTGTGTAGTATCTTAGCGATCAAAACAAACTTAGAGAGAGGAATCCAAGTGTTTGAGACACAAAAACCATCAAAACTTGCATCAATATATATGCACCTATATATAAGCACACACTTTTCGTCAATTAAACTGATTTGGTTTCGTATGTTAATTAGAGGATTTTCTTATGGGTCAGTTTATGTGTAAGAGAAGAGAGAGAAGATAAGAGAGGAGAGAGAAGATACTCTAGTATCTAATAGTTGTAGAGAGAGATTGTAATAAGATATAATATAATCTTATTAATTTTTTCTTCTTCATTATTATATTTTTATTTTTTTTATTGAAGTATTTTAGACATTTTAATTACTAAATTGTACATAATATTTTTATTTGTATAAATTAAAATAAGAGAAATTAATTGTACATTTTATATATTACAAGATTTTTTTTGCACTTAAGCATTTAAACTTTAAAGTAAAACTATGAAGTGAACTTTGACAAGAGTGAGAACTCTCTTTTGTTAATAATTAAATTAAAATAATTTTAAAATTTTATGAACAAACAAATCTTTTAATAAAAATTTCAACTCAAACGTGATGGAGAATTTGTGACTTTTGTCATGAGAGCGTCTAGATACACATTTAGTAAGTATGAATTCATTTCATACCTACCAAGTAACTATTTTATCATGACTTAAGAGTCATCTTCCCCCGCAAGGCAATTTAATTTAAGGTGGCCGCCTTAATACAATTATATATGGTGTGGAATAAAACAATGTGGATTTTTATGAACAAATATAGCAAGTGGATAAAAATAATACACTTTAAATAACATTTTGAATGAAATATACCATTGGAGTAGAATTGCTAAAATATAATATTTTGACATTGTAGTTCCTATCAAAATATAGCTTTGACATAAAAAAAAAAAAAAAATAGTATTTTGTATTGGAGATACTCTTCCAAGAGTCTTTCTCTCTGTTCTAGTTTCATTTACCATTTTCTAGAAAAACCAAAGTTGCCTTTCGGATTACAAGTAATTTACAAACTACCTTCTAATGAAGATAATTTTGCTCATCCTAAGGTTGACCTAGTCGTTTTTTTTTAACAAATTGGGTTGGGAGACTGATCTCATGTTCTGAACGTTATGATCAAATCTTATAATTTTTAGGAAAAAAAAAAAAAAGGACTTAATAAATTTTATAATGACAAGTGAAATTGTTTGAATTCATCTGACTAATTTTTTTTAATAATTATGTTAAAAGATGATTTTGCATGACTATTGAGTTCAACCTTCCCATTTAACGATTAAGAACACGAGTTTATGGTGAAAAACACTTTTATAATAACTTATTTCAATTAATTATTAATAAAATCGAAACCAACATATCCGTTTGTATTGTCTGTAATCAAAATTTAAATTATTTGCTTTAGGAGGGACTCACACTCCATAGATTTTAGTAGACTTCGGAATCATTGAGAAATGTCTTATTGATGAAATGTCTTGGCGTTGCCGTTAAGGGCAATATGTAAAAAGCAATGGGGAAAAGGGTAATTTAGTCAAAAGGGTTTGTATCGTAAGTCCAAGTTTATAACATTTCAAAACTGTAAGAACTAAGAAGCAATGATTTTTATCATCATTTTGGTTTGAACATAAAATAAACAAACCAGAAGCTAAGAAAAAGTCCCTTTCAGTTTCAGGGGAGGGCATGTGACCAAATGAATGGGCCAGACTGATCCACTAGTTTTTGTTGGCATTTGTAAATGCAAACATTTTGGTCCGTGGTTGAATGCAAAAATACAAGTCCAGCCCATAGGGAATGATCCAATCACACACTTCACCTGTATATAGGATGACACTTCACTAATAAAAAATTTCAATTGGATATGTTACAGTTCTATAATTTATTTTAATTGGTAGATTTATGTTTTAGAACTTTAGATTCTTAAATGTTCAAATTTTTTGTGAGGTTCTCTTTTAATTCTAAAAAATTATAAGAATATTTTTTAAAATTAGGCACCATAAAAGTGTTGTTATAACCTCAATATTATTTTTTAATTTTTTTTTTCTTTAAAGTGATTTTCATTTTAGGTGTTCTTTTCATTCTAATTTTTAAAAATAGTTCCAATGTATTTTCATTTTCTTATAGATGCTTCTTATATATATACATATATATTTACAAATCTAATCCATATAAAAATAATTTTTAACAACATCACATCGAATGAGTTATTTGTATTTATGTTAATTTGAGTTGGTATTTTCCTTATACCAGTTTTATTAAAGATACTGCATCAATCAATCGATGTATAAATAAATCAATCCAACAAAAAGAACACAAAATCTTAATACGTAAATAGGTCAATTAAGCAAAAGACACCAGAATGGCCTCAATGCACAATTCTTCAATAAAATCAATGAACAAAATAAATCAGGCTGACCAATCTGATGACCATATCTAATTGAACAGATTGAAATGATAACAAATCCTTGAATTCTCCGATTTTGCCATTAAAGAAACCCTAACTTGAAGTACAAAAATCCTTTTTAAACGAAAAAAGAGAAAGACAGAATTATAAATGAAAGAATCCTTTCAAGAAACAACAAAGTATTACATGAGAATTAAATTAAAACCCAAATCAAAACACTTGCACTGCATTTGAGATGAAGTTTATACATACATACACATCAACCAACCTTGAAGTATTGGGTTTTCTTCAAGATTTTAACAAACACAGTAAGTGCTTGGAGATATTGACAAGTTAAAAGTGAAGAAGACCACTTCTTCATTACAAGATATTGACCCCCAAGAAAAATGGTTAGTACTATGAACAAAACAAACCATCAGTTGTATTACCAAAACTCTTTTAAGGACTACATACATACGTGTACACACAGATGAGATTAGATCCAAAATTATTTTATTTTATTTTATTTTAGGCTTCCTTTGGACAAACATGACAGAAAAAAAAGGATATCATTCATTAGTTTAACAAAAAAAAAAAAAAAAATAGAAAAGAAAGAAAGAAGAAGAAGAAGAAAAAGAGGAAATGATAATAATAACCTTTATTCATATTTGGATAAATTATGAGAGAAAATAAAAGAAATTATAGTATTCTTATTTGAAAAAAATAAAGGAGAAAAACAAAAATAATGAAATGATAATAATTAAATTACTATCATAACTGTTTTATAAAATATTATAAGATAAGATACAAACGGTATAAGAGAGTAATTTTGGTATTATGAAAATATTACTTATTCGCCATTCTTTCCCTCCAAATCTTTTCAATTTTTTGGAAGATAATACATGATAACTATCCCTTCAAATCTCTTCCAATCATTTCTTTTCAAAAAATACCCAAATACAATTTTCATAGTTCTTTCTTTTCTTTTTTTTTTTCTTTTTTTTTTTTTTTTTGTACTTTTCTTTTCAAATCCTTCCAAATTACTCAATCCAAACAAGCTTAATGCATAGATAATTGTACCAAAAATTAAAAGTGAAAAAAAGTTATGCAATTTGCCCGTGTAATTGAGCTTTGTCAAAATATATTAAATTATTTTTAATCTTGCAGAGATGACAAGTGCTCTACAGTATCATTCTGCTCCACTATAACTTTTTCAATAGGAAAGTGATAGTAACAATTTTCTTTTCATTTACTATCGAAATGGTTTTTTTTTTTTCTCTCTCTCTATCGTTTCATTTCCGTTTTGATTTCAAGAAGCAACAACCATACGAGGTGAGGGAGGACCATCCATTCTGTTTTTTTTAAAGAAAATGGGTGGTGAAGCATTAGTGATGTTGACTTCTTCTTG